GATCTAAATGGTATGTATGACTCAAATCTGCTAACTACTGATGATGAGAATTAAGAGGCTACTCTTACACAAGCAACCAACTTTTACTAAGGGTTTACAACACACAATTAAATTTTCTCTGTGTTAAATTAGTTTTAAAAACTGAAATAGAGTTCAGTTTTCTAGTTCCCACATTAACTAACATCAAGGTCACAAATTCTTGCATTAGGAAAGAGAAAAAATGGGTTCACTCATGTTTCCTTACACTGATTTTTTGAAGGTTATAATGGGTAGTTTCAATTTCAAGGCTTTTTACTCTAATAAAACACAAATTGAGAATCAGAAACTCTCAGGGCTGTGTTATCATTAAGTCAAGCACGCGCGCGCGCGCGCGCGCGCGCGCACACACACACACACACACACACACACACACACACACACACACACAATTATTAGAGGACTTACAAATCAACATGAATCACTTTTAGGCACTTGGGTACAGACCATGGAGATTTTCTACCAAAAAACTACCTACCTATCATGCAAGACCATAAAGATTGAAGCTTTAGTTTCTAGAATATACAGGGCTAGAAAGTTAATAAGAAATACTGCATAATTAACTCATCTGTATCCTGGTATAATTTCTTTACAAAATTACATACACAATTTTAGGGTTTAATAAAAGCAGTTACTTTTTAACATCGAAAATTTTAAAATGGTCTTTCTTTACTACACCATCAGGATCTTAAAATTATCACACATTCTTTGAGGAAGCATGATACTGAAGTTTTATTTTTATATAAGTAAAACTTGAAAAAAGTGTTTTCTTTATTATGTCTGTATCTACACAAAGTCAGCACACAACAGTTGATGATTTTTATATGTTTTAAAGCCCATTTCAACAGGTTTATTTTGTAAAGATAAACTCCTCATTATTAATTCCTTTAGACAACTTTTATCTTTTTTAAGTAAACATGAGAAAAAAAACAACAATGGATATGGTCTGTGGTTTTATGGATGTAAAGATGTCTTTATGTTAAACACCATACATAAATTTGGCTTGACATATTTCCCAACTGAAACTATTTGTACTGGTACTCTCCAAAATGTAACCCATTTTTGGTAATGGGAAGATAATACTAATATCTAATCCTTTCTCTATCTAACTTTTTAAATCAAGGAGCTGGCAGAGTCCAGATAGTTTTCTTATCTTTCTGAATCTACTTTTCAGCATGTGAAGCTAAAATTAAAAAGCATTAAGTACAGTATAATTTTAAAAACTCTATTATGGCATTTGTTCGCTGTATACACAGCAAGCCAGTCTTGCTCTGACAAGACTCTCTAACGAGCAAAGACCAATCTATGAATTAAGCCAGTGGTGAGAGGAGATAACAAAGAACTAGAGAACCTACTTAGACACTAGTGGCTTGGGGAACAATGGATACAGGAAAGTTTAGAACACCTCCAGGACAGATAATGTATCTTCACTGTTGGTGAATCAAGATAGAGGAGAGCAAGGGATGGCTGGGTTGTGGGAAAGCTGATCCCAAAGCAAGAAGTTCCAGATTATATTTAGACAGTGGGAGAGACCAAAGTTAAATCATGCAAAGAAACCTTGTCTCTTCTCAGCCGTGAAAGATGGATCGGTGCCAAAATACAACTGGGCAACTGAGAGGCAATGACCCCAAAGCCCACAGATAATCTGGGATGTGCTGCTGTCCCCTATATACAAAGCAGAATGCACTACAGGTATATTCCCAAAAATGCCTGCAGAGAAAACTAGAAAACTACCTACAGTTTTCTATTTACCCTAATATAAACAGATTTCGAGGTTGTTTGTACTGTATGTGGTTGCTGTAGCACAGCAATAAATGTAAAGTGCCTGTATCAGAGAGTATAACAGAATCACCCTTCTAGGCATCTTAATACTGGAAAAAATGAAAAAAATACCTCAGGGACTTCCTGGCTCTCCTTGAGCACTCTGCTCTTCTCTGTGATATCACTGTATCGACCTACGAGGCACTTTTCAAAGACCAGAAACTTCTATTGCATGCCACACTTCTAAAAATCACTTTACCTGCATTCAAAATGCCAATCAACAGTGCTAACGCTGCCTGGCATTTTTTTATTCTTAAGGCAAAATGTCATATTACCTACCAACTTCCCCCGGGTCCCCAAATTACCTGCCTTCATTGTATTCTTTGCCCACTGTAAGAACCAAAGAAGATAGAACTGAAAATTTCAAACAACTCAATGTACTATGTAAGATATATCTTATAAATGTCAGTATGGCCAAACTTAACTTATTTAAATGCTTATACCATATGGCTAATTTACAAGATATCAAGAGAAGTCATGTGACTTTCAAATTAGTAGCAAACATGGGATATTTAAATCCAGCCACATGTACTGAGGTATGAAGCTTTTTTCTTTTCAAAGTTGAGCACAAAATGTTTGTTTATATCCAAGAGTAGCGTATTAAAACCAAAAGCACTGCCCTTTGCTTAAGTCCACTTAAACTACATATAAACGGTCAATATGTTCTCCATTTTATTTAGAATTAATACTATTAAAATGATTTTGATCCATTTTCATATATGAATTTTAATTTTGGTTTTATGCACAAGTATATAGGTAACACATTCCGAATGCTTAGCCTAGGATAGTATAACAAAAAATCATGTTTTGCAAATGTGGTATAAGATTTCATGCATTCTCATGATGCCATGTTAATAATCTATTACTCTAAACCAATTGCAACAATGTAGTGTACACTTCAAACATCCCATTAGAATAAATTTTAGCCAACACCTTAATGACAAGGGAATGTGCTGGTATATTGTTGAATTGATGGGGCAGCAATCCAAGAGACTGAACTATGGTTATTCAAATTAAAAAATTAAAAGGATACCCCTAGCTCAGTGGATGGAGTGTTGGCCTGCAGATTGGAGGGTCCCGGGTTCAGTTGTAGTCAAGTGCAGGTACTTGGTTGCAGGCTCCTCCCCAGCCCAGTACCTGGTCAGAGCCCAGGTAGGAGGCAACCAATTGGTGTGTTTTTCTCACACTGATGTTTCTCTCTGTCTTTTCCATTTCTACTCTCCCTAAAAATCAATGGAAAAATATCCTCAGAGGAGAATTAACAAAAAAACAAACAAAAATATAAAACGGATAAAGGTGTGGATTTGCTGGATTACTGTATTGATGAAATTGCAATACTTACTGTATACATTTGGGTTTTAAGGTAATTTTTAATGTATAACAAGTAATACCTTATAGTTATTTGAAAAAAGTATGAGAACATATGAACAAATAAAGCTTGGTAATTTAGAATTTACTTTTGTAAAAGTTGACAAATAATAAAATATTATACTTGCATTTTGAACATTATAATATAAATATAAAACACAAAACATCCAACATTAAACACTGACCATCTCCTATGCCCAACTTGGACTTAGTGAGCATTTTAATTTTGTAGAAAGGAATTTTAAAAGTTTTGTCAATGCTTAAAGTATATATATACTATTATCCCTCATCAAAATCCTTGCAAAATCTAAAAGGCTGGTATTAAAAGGAATTATTTTTTTCTTGAATATTCTAAAACATGCCAGCTTAGATTATTGTTCAGATTTTCAGGGACTCAGTACTCAAGAATATATCTGAACACATTTAGTTAAGTGTTTATAGTTACAAGAGAAATACCTGTGACTTTTCAGATATTGAAAAAAAAAAAAAAAGCCTACATGAACAGAAGGTATCTTGGGGCAAGCTATTTCTTAGAAAAAAGAATGCATTATGTTGATCAATTTTTAAACCAAATTCTTAAAAGCACTAAAAAAATTTGTATTTCATACTTGCCAAACAATACATTCACATGTTATAAGAAAAGAAAATATAGAAATAAAAAAATCTAAAACTATTTCAAAAGTTAAGAATTTAAAATGTTCAAATTAATAAATTATCTTTGTTGCTTGGAAAATATGCTTTACTTTTCATTTCAAATTCACTTTAAATGCTTGACATATAATTTAATACTTAAGAATTTAGCTAAATTATTTGATAATATTTATACGGTGACACTTCTCTGGAAAGACATTTCACACAACAGTTTTCCATTAATGCTGAAAAATCAGTTGGTAATTTTAATCACAGTTAATAATTGATTAATGGATTAACAATTTACTCAGTAATTTAGATGGCATCCGGTCTCATAAAGATAACAATCAGATAACTGCTCAATGTGCAACTGTGCCCATTAGCAATTCTAAGAACTTGACAGATATTCCACTCATTGGATTACATGCTTGTATGTATGTGATTTGAACAACAAAACATAGGTAATCAATGTCAAACTTTTTTTTTTTTTTTTTAAAGAGCAGCTCAATGATTTTGGGGATGGATTAGTACAATGAAGAGAGCATAGGGGAAAAATACAAATTGGCACTTCAACCAATGCCAGTATTCATTTCATTATTGTTATAATTAAGAATATTATTAATTTTTGTTATTCATTTTTCTTTAGAATATAAATCAAAGCCATTAACTTGAGGTTGAGGTATATACACAATACATACACAAATGCAAAATACTTTTCATAAGTAACATTACATTTTAAAATACCAGAAACTGAATATCTGTGCTGATTTATATTTTGACTTAATGGAACAAAAAGAGAACATTCAACAAAAGAGGGTTATGCTGACAATAAAGCTCTTAAAGTTTAAAAAAAGTCTTCCTCTCCTTTTGTACTTACCACAGGCTACACAATGTCTTGAGAGGATTCATTATGAGAAAAATGTCAATCACAGCTTTAAGACCTGGCTTTGGAAGAAACTAATGAGAAAGCAATTGGAAGGTGAGGCTTCAACTTCATTTTCAAATAAGTGGTCTTAATTTTTCTTCTTATAGAAAAAGTTTAAATCAGTTTACTATAAATATATCTGAACCATTAATTTTTGGAGCTTTCAGGCAAAGTCCAGCACTTCGTTTATATAAAGTCTATGAGAAGAAGTCAGTAGAGATCATCTAAGCTTAAGTCGTGACATCATCCATTCCAGTCCTTGGCATAATCTATACAGAAAATAAAATCATTTGGTCAAATTCTCAACTAAAAAGCTATAAACAGCAAACTAAAACAGGGTAGCATTTTTTCATTTACCTAAACAACAAAGGTTAAAAAATTAATACTGTTCCATGTCGGTGTTATTATTGTGAAGACACAGTACATCTGTGCTTTCTCATTTGTTTTATTTCTAGTGCCTAGAACACTGCCTTACATATAAAAGCTAAGTGATTATATAAATGCCCATGGAAAGTAGTTTAGCTATACATATTCAAGAGTATTTAAAATATCAATACCCTCTCTATCCTCTTTTCTACTTCAAAAATTACATCCTTTTACATAAAGACAGATTTATGTATAAGACTGTTTATCAAAACATTTTTAATAGGAAAAAGAATTTGAATGTCTAGAAATAGAGAAAAATTTAACAGATTATGGATGAAATATTAAAATGAAATATTAAAAACTTCCTTTCAAAAGTTACTTTACAATATGATAAAATGCTCATTATTTAAATGAAGTAAAATTGCAGGATATTAAATATATAGTAGAGCTGTTAAAACAGAGTACATACATACTATGTCTGCTACATCTATATATTTACATTTTTTGAAGGAAATAAAATCTCTTATCGCTAACACCAGTTATCACTGAATAATGGGTAACTGAGCATAATCCAAACTACTATAAAGAATGTTCATTATGGTAAAGAAGGTGTTTAGGAAGAGAAAAATTATGGTACATATGTTACAACAAAATGAACAACTGTTATGAAGCATTAACCACTGTCTATTAGGAGCTTTTATAGATACGAGAAACTGAAAAATCAGATTTTTGTGTAAGTGCGAGTCTAACAATATAAAAGAAGATAGAAAAAAAAAAAAAGGCAATGAGATAAACAACTGCTTCAGTGTTGGCCCAGATTATGCTAAGCACTTAATATCCATTATCTTAATACTAGAGGCCCAGTGCATGAAATTTGTGCAAGGGGGGAGGTAAGGGACGAAGGGGGGGTGTCCTCTCAGCCCAGCCTGCACCTTCTCCAAGTCAGGACCTCTTGGGGGATGTCAGACTGTTGGTTTAGGCCAGATTACTGAACAACCCCAGACCGCTGGCTCCTAACCGCTCACCTGCCTGCCTGATTACCCCTAACTACCTCCTCCTGCCAGCCTGCCCACCCCTAACTGCTCTCCCCTGGTGGCCTGATCGCCACTAACCACCTCTGCCTAGGCCCCCACCACCATGGCTTTGTCCAGAAGGACGACCGGAAGATGTCTGGTCTATCCGGTCACATTAGCTTATTACCCTTTTATTAGTATAGATTTCTTTACAATGGTGAGATCAGAACCCTTCTCCTATTAGAGGAAACCTGGGCTTACAGAGATTAGCAAATGGCAGAGATAAGAGTCAAGTCAGATCAACACTAAAATCAAGAATTCAGACCAACGTGGCCAGACCACAATAGGGAAGCATTTCCTCCAAAATCAAACACTTTCACTTGCTGACTGCTGCAAATGTCCACATACACCAGAATTGAAAAGATACCATCAGCTCTATTTCCTCTTTCAAAAATGAAACTGCCAGATACGAATAATTCATATCCATCCTAATTGATGATGTATTTTCTACACAATTTCTCAAAGTATATAAGCTAAGTATTATATAAATCCTAGACAATTTGACTTTGTGGTCAAATTTAGTATTACATCAGTGCTTTCGCTTAAAGTCCTTTCATAGATAAAGATACATCTACAGATATCTTGACAGTATTAAACTATTTGACAAAAACATGTAACATTTTTACTTAAATGAATATGTGGAGAGTTGGTATTATCTATGAATTTTCCTTTAAATGAATAGAATTGCTTTTTTGAGGTTCTATTAAGCTCTCCTAATGTCTGTAATTAGATAACAGTGCCTTCTACTTCACTAAGATTCAACTTCATCTCCCATTTAATTATTTTTGTTTTTAAAATGTACATACATAATAGATTCTAAAGCGAGTTCTTAATTTGGGGTTGAGGTTCTTCTTCTGGTATTAGGAAAGGGCAGAAGTGTGGGGCATAAATATATGAATTAGCTGAATGGGAGAAATTCCCTTCCTTTCAAAACCATGATGATAGTCATATAATGATTTATTGAAACTATCTGGGCCACAAGCTTCTGCCCTTTCCTAAAACCTGAAGAACCACACCCCAAATTTAAGACTCTAGAATTCTTTATCTCCCACTTAATTCTTTTTTCTCTGCTTTTAAATATATACAGAACTACCACATTTTAGAAAAACAACTACAACAAAAGTATTATTTCATTTGCTCAGCCTTTTAACTTTTTATCCTATTTCTAACCTTCTCTATTCCATCGCTCCTAACAGCACTCTCCATCTCTCTGGTCACTGACATTATATTTAACAATGCTGGAAACCACTTCATTTTTAAAATCCTCTCATTTCTGGGCACTAGGCTAGGGCAAAATTCTACTCAAGCACCAACCCTCCGTTCCAGAACCAGGAACCAACATGCCATACTCTCTCCAATTCTAACATTCTTTTTTTTTTTTTTTTTATTGCAACAAATCCCTCTTGACAATAGTGGTGGCAAAAGTGAGTACACCCAAACTAGTCTAGTTCAACTTCTTTATACATAAAGTGTAAATTTAAAACAACTGGTCTACATGACTGTTAGGAATAAATGATACACTATAAGGAACACTCAAGACATAGGACAGATTTAGCAAGTGTTAGTTCCTTTCTTATAGCAAAAGTCCCACCACCAAGATGAACTGTTTTCCGACTTGTCCAGCTCCCCTTGACATTCTAATGTCTCTGCACTCCCACAGCAACAGTAACTACGTGCACATTAGTTCAGTATGTGTATGTATACGCTGTGTTTTATTCTTTACGGAACCAAGTTAAAAATTCTCACTGTAGACATGCTGTTCATGGTAACATTAAAATTAGATTTTAGGAAGAAATTCATATTCCTAAACTAAAGACACGTTCTTACCCCTCGCCAGTAAGAGCACAGCATGCCTGGATATGCCACTGGTGATCTTTAATAGAAGTTAGTTTCAAAAACTGGGAGATTTCTGCCACACTCATGCATTCCTTAACATCTTGTTTATTAGCAAAAATCAGCAATCCAGCTTTCCTTAGATCCTATAAAAGCAAAAAAAAAAAAAAAAATGATAAGGACCAATGCGTTTTTTCAAATTTTCTAACTTAATAGAATTTTTTTTTTGTAATCTTTGTAACCTAGAATTTCTCAATTACTTGATATAAAAGTATATCATAGCTCTTATACTGATGGAAGGTAAACTTCAAACTGAACACATTATACCTGTATATATTTACGTATTTCTTATAGTCCTAGATTACATTTATGGTCCTAAGTGCTATATTTACCAAGCAGCCATGTCTTCAAAAATATAATTACCCATTTCCCCCAACCTCAAACTAGGCTTCTATGGCTACTAAGAATTACTTTTTAGCATGGCACTCAAGAGCTTTTAAAAATTTTACTGCAACCTAGTATCTTCTAGGTACATAGGAAATAAACTAATTCATTATATACAGCATATGCCTTGGACTGTAGGGCTGGGGAATATCTGGCCCACCAGTCCTATAAGGCCCACAAAATCATTTGATCTGGTCCTGCCAAGGCATTAAGGAGGGGTGAGTTATTTCAATGTTTGAACAAATATAGCAGGCTTTTTTTTTTTTTAAATCTTTTTGTTGATTTTTAGAGAAAGAGAGAAAGAGAGAGAAACACTGATGTGAGAGCAATTGGCCTCTTTGGATCAAGCCTGCAACCCAGGCATGTGTCATGACTGGGAATGAACTGGCCACCTTTCTGGGCATGGGATGACACCCAACCATCCAAGCCACACTGGAGCAGGGTAATTTTTAAGTTGATAATTTTGTAGGGACTGAAAATGATGTTATAAATATCCTAATTGCCCTTGGAACAATAAGGGTTCCCCACCCCTGCCTTAAAGACTTAGGGCTTAATTCTCAGTTGAATGGTGCTATCTTAAACCAACCCTATTATTTTCTGAGACCTAACTTCTCTATCTTTGTCCATGACGATTTCTTAGATTTGAGTATTTGATATGGCCACCTTAGATTGGCATTAAACTTATCAACTAAGTTCTACCACTTCTATTCTTTGACTCTGAGAGGCAAGGTTTTTAACCTTTCTGAATTTGTTCCTCGTTACCAACATTTATTGAGTATCTAACTTGAGCAAGCCACTCATCATAATGTTTCATTTCTGGTAGTAGGAAAGGGCAGAAGCTTGGGGCATAAATAGATGGATTAGCTGAAGTGGGAGAAATTCCCTTCCTTTCAAAACCATGATGATAGTTAAAGCCACATAATGACTTTTTCTAAATAAAAACTCTTCAATCCTCACAAGATTGCTATAAGATAGACTTTCCTAGTCCCATTTTACAGAGGAGAACTGATTTAAGTAACTCAGACAAGGTCATAAAGCTACTCAATAATAGGACCTAGTTTGAGCCAAGATCTTCCTATTATAGCTATTGCCCCTCATCTGTAAAATGCTGAAACTACTACCTAACTCTTAGGGATGTGGTTTTAATAAACGAATTACATTTAAACTACTCAATTCAGTAGCTGGCTTTTGGTAAAAGTTCAACAAATGTTAGTTTATTTATTGCCCCCAAAATAATAATTATCTTATCCTGTGCATGCCCCAAAGTAATTGGTATGCTTTATTTACTACAGACCAAGGATCTTGGCCTCCTTTGACTCTACTCCACTCTTCCCTCTTGCAACCATTTTTACAGTCTGGGACTTGCCTGGTAATCTACTGAAGGTTATAATAAACCTTTTCTTCATAAAAATGCACATTTGTATATGTGCAAAAAAGTATATGTATAATTTTAAAATGTTAATAGATACTCTAAAGTCCATTCATAGATCATGGACTAAGAACCAATGAAGTATACACTCTGTGGATTAAACTCTCATAACACTCTTCATATATATATGGTGATACTGTGGTTTGGGTGCTATGTTTGCAAGTTTTCTCAACTGTGTTGAATGCCATCTTTCTTCTTAGGGATTTTAGTGGGATATTTTGTTTTCAATCATGAGTATATGTGCTTGAAGCAGGAAAGTCTTCAATGGGTACAAACTGACATTGTTCCACAATATTTTACTTTGATTCTTTCGGATGTAAATAAAAAAATATAATAGGTAAGAGGACTTAGGCAAGAGGTTTTATATAACAGAGACTGACTTTAGTTACAGTGCCCTCTGCAGGATGGCAGCTATAGTAACACAATTAATGAGTTACCTGAAGAGCATGGTCAAAAAAGGATATTAGAATGTTAACTTTTAAGATTTCTCATTCAATTTGTTTCATCTATAGTTCAGTTTACCTGTTTATATAATAAAACGCAAAAATATTAATGGATGGACTATATATATATGTATTCATTATTGAGGATACAGATATTTTTTCTCTTATCTTAAATGGAAATGGAACAGCATCAATAGTTGATATATGGCTGAATCACTTGAGTAGTTGGACTTTCCATGGATTTAATTCCTATCTTCCTATCTTCCAGGTTTCAGTATCTCCTGCTAGTATTGTTGAAACCTTTTATATAGGTCAGGATTGGTAATACTGACACATTCTAAGAACAAAATTTTGGCACAATTTAGGAAACATAAATTTGGCACAATTTAGGAAACATAAATTTATACTATCTTATTTATAAGTAATCTATATTCCTCACTTCTAGTGATTAAATTATTTGGAAAAGCTCCTGGACTACAATTTGAAAAGGATAAGAAATAAAGCCTTTTATTGAAAGGTTTCAAAAACACACTGAAAAAAGCCCATATTGAATATAATTTTTCTACATCTCATAGGCTCAAATTTTTTTACTTGGGCTTCTTGATTAAAAAAACAACAGCAGCTATATTACCTATTTTTAAATACTTAGGAAGAGAGCAAAAAAATAGTCCTTTACTTTTAATTATTCAGCACCAATTACGCCTTATGATAACAGTAAAAAAAAGTTATATAGGATTAAGGCTGTTCATCAACTTCAGTTAACAAGAGGTCAAAGTGCAAGGTGAACAGCAGTGATCTTTTATTCATCAGCCACCTGAAGCACTTTAAAAAAAAAACTTTCTGCTGAAACTGGTTTGGCTCAATGGATAGAGCGTCGGCTTGGGGACTGAAGGGACCCAGGTTCGATTCCAGTCAAGGGCATGTACCTTGGTTGCAGGCATATCCCCAATAGGGGGTGTGCAAGAGGCAGCTGATCGATGACACTCTCTCATCGATGTTTCTAGCTCTCTCTCTCTCTCCCTTCCTCTCTGTATAAAATCAATAAAAAATATATATATATATATATATATATTAAAAAAACTTTCTGCTACATATTACAGATTTCTGGTCTTAAGAGTCTAAATACCAATTTCAGTTTAGTCAAGAAGATGAGTAATAGCACATGCAAGATATATTTACTTAGCATCTTCTATATGCCATATGTAGTAGTCAATTTGTTCCTCAAAGCTTCATTTGTGAAGGTAATTCCTAGAAGTTGAGTCATTCTGAATAAAATTTCATCTGTCCTTTTGTATTTGGACTATTTTAAAATTCATGAGCTTCAAAGTTTTGCACTTCATTTAAGATGAAGCTTTCAGTAATACTGAAAAACATTTTATAGTTCTGTATTTGTAATGCGTGTAAAGAATCATTATCAGTGATGGTGATAAAATTCTGTTGGTGATTGTAGTATGAAACATCTGACTAACCCCATTGAAAATTTGTTTTTCATTAAGACATCTTATTCTTTGATTCATTTGTTCCCCTTCCGAACTCTATTTGGCTCTTCTGGACCCTTTTAAGTGACTTAACTCTAGTTCTCAACTTCACATGCAATTCCTTTCTTCTCTGGTAATCTCCCCATTCCGTTTCCTTTCAGTTTCCAACCATGCCCTATTTGTCTCCCACTCCCCTCACCCCCCACCTTCAGCAAGAGCAAGAATGATGAAAATCTTAAATTCAAAGCCTGGCTCTTAATAAGCCTAACCAATGGACACAGATAACAGGGGGATGAGGGCATGAGATGGGAAGTGGGGGCAAAAAAAGGGATAAGGACACATATGTTATACCTCAATCAATAAAGGGGGGGAAAAAAGCTGGGTCACATATTGACTTGCCCAGGTTAATGGCCCCAACATGTAAAATTCAGTGACTTTGTTTGTGCCCTACTATGTTCTATACTGATCCTGCTTACATAACTGGCCAATTAGAGTAAGAATCAAATAGGGAGGCTGTGTATTAACAGGGTGAAAATAGAGCTAAGACAAATACTATGTGTGTCTTAGTTTTCTTTTTCCAAAGTCTTCATAGAACATAAAACAACTCTTTGGTATAAACCGAAAAACCTATTTTTGTAAAATACAAAGGGGAAAGTGTTCTGCCTTAGTGTTCTGCCTCTTTTATAGCTTGTTTCACAAAGTAGAATCGCTACTTGTTAAGTGCACGCACAACAGCAAGATACATTTCAAAAAAAAACAACAAAAACCCAAGGGATTTAACACAGCTGCTCAAATCAGTCTAAAACAGGGGAAAGTGCATTTTGGTGGGCACGATCACAAGAAAAGCAGGAACTTCAACTTACATAACTACTAGCTTTCTTACGTCTTGAACAGTTGCCTGAAACATACCAAAATTCTTAATGCAAATCATCAAATCAATATTAAAATATAAAACTTTGTTATAAAGATATCCCAGATTTTTAAGTTTTATTAAAATTCCACTAAAATAGCCGAAGCCGGTTTGGCTCAGTGATAGAGCGTCGGTCTGCGGACTGAAAGGTCCTGGGTTCGATTCCGGTCAAGGGCATGTACATTGGTTGCAGGCACATCCCCGGTAGGGGGTGTGCAAGAGGCAGCTGGTCGATGTTTCTCTCTCATCGATGTTTCTAGCTCTCTATCCCTCTCCCTTCCTCTCTGTAAAAAAATCAATAAAATATATTAAAAAAAATTCCATTAAAATAAAAAGTATATAAAACACACATCTAAATATTCACTTTCCTATTCCCATCTATAAATAAATTTATTCCATCTGCAATAAAAAATCATAAAAATATAATCAACTGCCACTATGGTAAGTATTATATGGTTTTATAGTTACTGTTATCATTATTGATTATATTATTCAGTTTATTCAATTTTTAAATTATGCTACTGGTAATATTTCTCAAGGACTTTGAAATGTGGATAGCCATATGGTTTCTTTAGTCAAAGGACCATATTGGAGAAACCTAAGAGCAACCATATTTAAATATTAGTCTAACAACTGAGTTACAATCAAGACTTGCTATGTATCTATGAGACTTTTAAAATTTCATTTCCAATGATAATCCTCCGTATAATTAATCTATTCAAAATGTAAAAGCAGGCATGGCCAGAAAATAGATAACTTTTTTAAAAATTTGAAATAGTATCCACCTGAAAAGTAGGAAGAAAAAAGGTGACAGAAATATCCCATAAACACATCTCATGCCAGAGTCCTACTTACCTCATGGGCTAACATCTTATAGAGTTCTTCTCTAGTTACAGAAATCCTTTCTCTGTCTGTGCTGTCCACAACAACTATTACAAACTAAAATAATTACAAAAAAAGTCATTAATGATTATATAATTTTATATATTGTAAAATTTATGAAGTGCTGATTTGATTTGCAGGTTATAACTATCAAGCAATTAGAACCTTATGGTATGGTATTATTGGAAAACCAGAGATACCTAGTATATATACATCATAAAGCCTAAAGGTCTGATCTATTTCTAATTCAAATATATTTACTAAATTTTAAGAGAAAAATAGGAGAAGAGAGAACACATACTAACATACTATTAGAATATTCTGTTAATATTTTAACCAATAAAACACATTTGTTTCCTAATTTAACATCATTTTGAATGCTAACAAGACTATATCCATCTATTTACACTATAAGTCAAGAAAAAAAATACTACAGTCATAAACAAGTTACTTCTAGACAGTTGTTATTTTATATTAATATCAATTTGACAACCCAAAGGGAATGAGTTTGGGAGTAAAGTACCATGACAGTTAAAATCAACAAATTACAAGAACAAATCTATATCTAAAGCTATGCTCTCTTCCTTATATAAATGGCACAACTCTCTCCTGAACTGGTAAGACTAGCATCAGAAGATGCAATGAAATACCTGTGAAGGAGCTGTACAGAACTGCACTACTGCACCTCTTCCTAATGCTATGCCCACCAAAAGGGAAATAGGAGCAGATATAGTCACTTTGTGATGGCATTTGTGATGCCCGTGTTAATTCTGACTGCCTATTATTAACATGCATTATTCATTTTTTAGAACTAGCTTTTCATTTCCAAATAAACCACTGTAATTTTCAGAGTCTTTTCTATTCTATAGATTTCAGGAACCATAAGGATAAGAGGACTACTAGTTCACCTCTTCTCTCACTTGAAACCTTACTGATAAGTGGTTTTATTACTGCCAGACTCATTCTATTCCAAGGTACTTTAATAAAGCTATTATTTTTCAAAGTGTTGCCATGAATTTGATACCTGCAGCGTTATATTTAGGAATAGTAACCATATCTACCTTTCTTTCTCAATTAAAAAAAAAAAAAGATCAAATGCCTTATGAAGTGTTAAGGGATCAGGTCATTAGAAACACTTAATGTGTCTAATGACATTATTCACCTTTGCATATGTTTGGAATTTTATTAACTTACTAGAGGCCCAGTGAATGAAAATTCATTCACTGAAGGGGGGAATCCCTCAGCCCAGCCTGCCCTTCTCACAGTCTGGGAACCTCAGGGGCAGGAGGCAACCCAGCGATCAGGGGAAGGCGATGCCCCCATCACACCTCTGCTGCTGCCACTGCTGGCAGCACAATCCTCTGGTTACCCGAGTCTCAGGCAGCCCTGGGTGGCTGGGCAGCCGTCATCTAAGCCTCAGGCCAGCCCTGGGTGGCTGGGGGGCTGAAAGAACTTGAGGACTTCAGAAGCAGGCGTGCGGAGTGGCTAGATCCGCCTAGGGATAAGGGGACTGGGCGCCACCATCTTGTGGCCATGGGTGCTGCTATCTTTGAGGGTGTGACAGTTATTTAGCATATTCCCTCCTTATTGGCTGTGGGTGCCACCATCTTGGTGAGGACATGACAGTCAATTAGCATATCCCCTCTTTATTAGATAAGAGAATCAGCACTATAAAAGCAACTGTCACAGGCTTTTAATTTGCAAGGTCTATACAATGAAGGTCTGAAATCGCCTCTTAGGAAATAGTATATAATTAAAAACATGGTGTTGTCTAAATTCTTGAGAACAAAAAGGAAAAAAATTCTTTAATGTGCAATTGAGTTGCCTAAAATAAAATACACGGTAAAATTTTGGCCAAGATTGAAACAACCAGATTTTACTTAGATTTCTTCTACACAAAAATAAACAGTAAAAAAGAAATGATATTACAAACTGTGAGATGAATTCATTATAAAAACAACTACTTAAGTTCTGGGATCAATACATAATCAGACTAATCAACCACCAATTCCCCTTTCAGAGATTCAATGAGAGGGGATACACAGGACAATGATCCTGAAATAGGGAATCAAAGATTCCACAATTTTTAAAATCTACTTCTATAATATTAACATACTGTGATATTTCAAAAAGATTAATTATAAGAGTTCATATCTAAAAGGTGTTTCCCAAGCATTCTGCTCATAGAAGTTCTAATATATTAAGAAACATCAGGGAGGGGTCAATGTGGGGGAGGGGAAGGAATCATATGTAATACTTTAAACAATAAAGAATTTAAATTAAACAAAAAAAAAACAGAAAGAAACATTACCTCTGTGTTAGTATAGTAAGTGTTCCAGGAAGAACGAAGAGATTCTTGGCCACCAATATCCCACATTAGAAATCGTGTATTATTAATTACTATCTCTTCTACATTACTTCCTATTGTAGGGGATGTATGTACAACTTCATTCATAGAACTGAAAGAAAAAAAAGAAGAACATGTTACAATTAGCTAGGAAGTTGGATTGTTTGAATATTTTCAATCAAGGAACCAGTCAGTATGACCTCCTTTTATATATTATACCCAAATGTCCCTTTTCCAGTAGCTGAGCTAAGGGTTTAAACAGAGGTGGAACTAGGCAGTGGACTACCTGAGATACTCTACATTCAATTTTAGGAAACTACATAAACACATATTTCTCTACCTTCTAAAAGCAAAACAAACACTGTCATAAAAATGTCAACTCTTTAGAATAGGGGTTAGGAGTGTCTGGCCTGCAGGTCCTATAAGGCCAACGAAATCATTTGCTCAAGGCATTAGGAGTGAGTTAATTATTGACCAAATATAGCAGGCCAATCCTTAAGTTGATAATTTTGTATGCACCTCAAATGATTTTATAAATATCCAAAAGGCCCTGACAGAAAAGAGGTTCCTCACTGCTGCTCCAGAGTAACTTAAATTCCATTTAACTTTCTATTGCTTTCATTAATCAAATATCACTCAGGCAGAAAAAGCAACTATCCTATATAATAAACTAGAGGCCCAATGCACGGAATTCGTGCATTGGGGGAGGAGGGGTTAGGGAAGTATTCCTCAGCCCAGCCTGCACCCTCTCTCACAACCCGGGACCCCTCGCTCCTAACCTCCTGCCTATTTGCTCCTAACCACCCACCTGCTCGCTCTTTACCGCTTGACTGGCCACTCCTTACCACCTGCCTGCTCACTTCTTACCGCTTGGCTCTCCACTCCTTAGCATGCAGCAGAAGAGGGAGGCTCCCGCCACTGCTGTGTGCCCGCCAGCGGTGAGCCCACTGTGGGAGTGCTCAGTGTGCATCATAGCCACCTGTCTCGTTCTGGTCATCCAGTTGTTCCACCAAAATGGTCGCTGGGCTTTTATTATATAAAAGGTAATATGCAAATTGTCCCCTCAGGAGGTCGACCAACCGGGAGTTTGACCACTCGCTATGACGTACACTGACCACTAGGGGGCGGTGCAGAACAATGGAAGGCCCCAATCAGCAGCTGGCAATCAGGGGAAGGAAGGCCCCAATTGGCCCCGATTGCCAGCCAGGCCTAAGGACACTACTCATGCTTGAATTTCGTGCACCAGGCCTCTAGTAAACAATAAAATAAAAATGTGAAAGTAGTTAATACTTACAATTGGTAAAGGATGGTAGTTTTCCCTGCATTATCCAGCCCAACAATGATAACTTTGTGCTCTGAAATGAATAAAACACCAGTGATTAATAAAAAACAAAATTTTAAAATATCCTATTTCATCTATCTTTCCAGCTATGGTATAAATCAGCACATGGCACTTTAACCTTTAACTCTAAAGACCAGCAGAAGTGAGCCTTTGGTCTCATCTTCCCCACCACTTCTGTGGAGCAGTCTGAAATCTCTTTGGAGGGCATCCCAATGGGACTCCATGATCCAGAAATGTCCCACCTCTTCATCCTGCCTACGAGCCACAATCATTACCAACTTCACTCCTTCCCAAGACTTGTCTCTATTTGAGTTTTCACCTGTTTTTACAATGAAGCACCAATGGCTGCTTTTGACAGCTCCTTAATTTTAATGTATGTCATGTGGGTCAGAGTGAGAACCATAAAATTAAGACATAATTGTAGAATGGGCTCAAAGATAAAGGTACCAATTCAATGGTTTAAAAAAAAAAAAAAAAAAAAAAAGGCAAGCAAGCCAAGACAGTTTATGCCCAAAAGCAGGGTTAGATTATTCACACTATTTGATGTAGGCATACCTAACATCATTGCAGGTTCTGTTCTAGACCGCCACAATAAATGAATATTGCAATAAAATGACTTAAACAACTTTTTGGTTTTCCAGTGTATATAGAAGTTATGTTTATACTACACTAGAGCCTAACAAGTATACAACAGCATTATGTCTAAAAAACAATGTACATTACAAAATACCATACTGATAAAAATACTAACCATCATCTGCGCCTTCAACAAGTAGTAATCTTTTTGCTTGCCTCTATTTTGATGGCTGCTGACTGATCAGGGTAGTGGTTGCTGAAGGCTGGGGTGGCTGTGGCAATTTCTTAAAGACAGACAAGGAAGTTTGCCACATAGACTGACCCTTTCATGAATAATTCCTTTGTGATATGTGATGCTGCTGGATAGCATTTTACACAAAGAACCGTCAAAATTAGAGTCAATCCTCTCAAACCCTGCCTGGACTTTATCAACTATGTGTATATAACACTCTAATACCCTTTCAACATTCTTGACAGCATTTTTTACCAGCAGATTCCATCCTAAGAAACCATGGTCTCTGCTCATCCATTAAAAGCAACTCTTCATCCACTAAAGTTTTATCATGTGATTGCAGCAATTAAGTCAGATCTTCAGGCTAATTCTAATTCTCTAACGATTTCTACCACATCTGTAGTTACTTCTTCCATTGAAGTCTTAAACTCCTCAAAATTATCCTTAAGGGTTGAAATTAACTTTTGTAAATGTTGATATTTTTTACCTCTTCTCATTAATCCTAAATAATAAAAACCTAATATGCAAATTGTCCCCCCAAATGAGAGATCAATCGCTTGCTATGATGTGTGCTGATCACCAGGGGGCGGCACGGAACATGGCAGGCGTTGGCGACACGGCGCTGGCAGTAGGTGCTACAAGCCCCAATGGGCCCCGACGAGAGCTGGACTGGGGTGGGATAGTGGAGCAGGTAAGTGGAGCAGGTAAGTGGCAGGTGCAAGCCACTAGTACAAGGCAGATGCCGATCGCCCCTCTGCCGCAGGGCTCCCAGGCACTGAAGGGGCCAGGCGGCGGCCCGATGCTCCACTGATCCAATCACAGGGCGACCAGTGGTGCGACTGGGCCCCTAAAGGCGGTGACCAGCAGCAGCAGCAGCAGCAGGGAAAGAGGGGAGTGGGGAGCGGTGGGGGGCTGCCACCCTGCTCCCTCAGCACCTAGAAGCCAGGTGGCAGTGGGGCAACTGGGCCCCACAGGCAGCAACCAATAGCAACAGTGGGGGACAGGTGGCTGGGGGAAGGGAGGGAGTACCCAGTCGGCAGCCAGCAGCTGCTAGGGACCCTACCAGTGCACGAATTTCATGCACTGGGCCTCTAGTCATAAATGTTCTTAATGGCATCTAAAATGGTGAATCCATTCCAGAAAGTTTTCAATTTACTTTGCCCAGATGCATCAGAGAAATCACTACCTATGACATCTATAACCTAACAAAACACTTTTTTAAAATCTTTATCTGAGGATATTTTTGTCAATGTTTCTTGAAAGTGTAAGGGAGGGAGGAAGGGGGAGTGAGAGAGAGAAGAGAGAGAGAGAGAGAGAGAGAGAGAGAGAGAGAGAGAGAGAGAAAGAGGGGGAGGGGAAGAAGAGAGGGAAATATCAACAGGAGAGAGATACTAGGTCATCTCCTGCATGCACCCCAACCAGGGCTGGGAAACCTGCAACTGAGGTACATGAATCAAAGCCACGATCCTTTGGTCCACAGGCTAATGTTCTAACCATTGTATAAACTGGCCAGGTCACAAAATTTCTTTTTTTTTTTTTTAAATTGATTTCAGAGAAGAGAGAGAGAGAGAGAGAGAGAGAGAGAGAGAGAGAGAGAGAGAGAGAGAGAGAGGGAGAGAGAGAGATAAACATCAATTAGAGAGAATCATTGATCAGCTGCCTGAGTCAAACTGGCCAGGGCAAAAAATGTGTTTCTTAAAATAAGGCTTGCAAGTTGAAATTAGTCCTTGATTTATGGGCCACAGAATGAAATTTATGTTCACAGGCATGAAAACAAAGCTCTTGGGTGACCAGGTACATTGTCAATGAGCCGTTATATTTTGAAAGGAATCGTGTTTTTTTTTTTTCTTTTAAGCAGTAGGTCTCAACAGTGAGTTTAAAGTAGTCAGTAAACCATGTTGTTTATAGAGCACATAAAGTAGATTTAGCATACTACTAAAGGCTCTAAGACTTTTGGAACAGTTAAATGAGCATTGGCTTCAGCTTAAAAGTCACCAGGTACACTAACCCCTAACAAGAGAGTCAGCCTGTCCTCTGAAGCATTAAACCCAGGCACTGACTTCTCTCTAGCTATGAAACTCCTAGGTGGCATCTTTTTCCAATAAAAGACTGTCTCATCAATAAAATGTTACTTGGTGTAGCCACCTTCATTAATTAACTAACCTCATCTTCTGGAATACATGTTGCAGCTTCCCCTAGAACTTTCATGTGATGGAAACAGCCTCTTTCCTTAGACCTCAGGAGTTAACCTCTGTTAGCTTCAAATTTTTCTTTTATAGGTTCCCCACCTCTCAGCCTTCAGAGAAGTCAAGGGAGTTAGGGCTTTACTCTGAATTACGCTTTAGCTTAGGGAATGTTGTGGCTGGTTTATAGAAACTACTAAAACCTTTTCCATATCAGCAATAAGTCTGTTTCCCTTTCTTACTATTTATGTGTTCACTGAAGTAGCACTTTTAATTTCCGTTAAGTTTCCTTTGTATTCACAATCTGGCTAATTGTTTGGTACAAGAGGCCTAGCTTTGGCCTATCTCAGCTTCTGACAAGCATTCCTCACAAAACTTAATTTCTAGCTTTTGATTTAAACTGAAAAATGTGCAATTCTTCCTTTCACTTGGACACTTAAGAGGATTATTAATTATTGTAGGATTATTAATTGGTCTAATTTCAGTACTGTTTATCTCAGGGACTAGGGAGGCCAGAGGAAATAGGGATGAGGGAATCGGCAGTTGGTGGAGCAGTCAGAACACACACATTTATTAAGTTCATTGTCTTATATGGATGGCACTGTTCACTGTGCTCAAAATAATAACACTAGTAAGTAATGTCAAAACGCACTGATTATAGATCATCATAACAAATATAATAGTAATAATAATAACAATAAGTGAAATATTGTGGGAATCACCAAAATGAGACACACAAAATGAAAAAAATGGTGTTGGAAAAATGGCACCAAAAGTTATTCGATGCAGGGTTGCCACAAACCTTCAATCTGTAAAAAAAACACAGCATATTTCGTGAAGCGCAATAAGACGAGGTGTGCTTATACTAAATACTAAATCAAAGCTTCTTTTGGCCATTCTTAGGTTTTGTCACCACTCCAGCCTATTCCTCTTATTACCAAGATGAAGCAGCAGTCTATACAAAACATAAATTTGCAGCCAAAAAACATTATAATGTTCTTCAAGAGAAATGAACCAAAAATACAATATAAATATTAAGAGATGTTACTATGAGCAAATTTAATAAATTTTTTGGCAATTCCAATTCTTTGATGTATTTGATTCATTTACAAGTTTATTGCTTAGTATAATTTCTCTTTTAGACTATCTATGCCACAGCATTTACTTATATAAGACAAAACAACTCCACACTGCTACAATAGTTAGATAGAATCTTGAATTATCATTTAGGCGTTAGTTTCCTAATCAGTACTTTACTGTGTGTGTGTGTGTGTGTTTTCATGAAAATGCTTCTAGTTTCACTTATTTTCTTTTCATACCTCCAGGCAGCCTAGAGTTCTATTTATTGCCAGTTCGTAAGAGTCAATCCAACTACCAGATAGTAAATTAAGAAAAAAGGAGTATTGTCATTCTGGAGGCCTTCAATTCTCTGAATCATATCTTAATCAGAAAACACAAATACTAAGACAGATAAATTGAGCCATCCTGATTCTTCATTCTCACCTCATACCCAAACTCACTATGCCCTTTTGATTCTATCTCACATACAGCAAACAATCAATTTCTATCACATTCACCATAGTTCTCTCTGACCACTGCACAAAGCACGTGATTAATACAGTATGAATAAATAAGTAAATCTAGAAGATATAAAGATTAGAAGGGAACTGATGAAGTCACTATGAATTAAAAATTCAATTTTTCAATCAAAAAGTATCATCAATAAAAAAACATTTAAAGATAAAACTTGCTATTTTATAGCAATGGTAGTAAAGTGTAAGGTGGGGGGGAGCAACATTTCTTTTGCATTAAAAAGCTGCTGGATGAAAAGCAATGATTATACATGGCAAAAATAGACATCCAATCAGAAAACAAACCACATAACATTTTGAAATAGCAAAGTTTAAAGAAAATAATTATCACAGGGGGTTGGAGTAAAAAAGGATTGGCTAATAAGAAATAACTCTAGAGATTATAGGAATGACAAATATATGGAACACTAACTACCTCTAGGGCTGGCCTAGCGCTTCCTCCAATTCCCAGGAACTGAGATGCACACTTTGCTGGAGGGCCTGGCTACGGCTCAATGAGTGTCAGAAGGAGCTGTGCAGACTTGCCAATGGATCTTGCTGAAAATCCTCCCCCTCCAGGGTGCTTCCCCCAGAAGTTATTTTGCTCCAGGGTCTCCATTCTGAGATCAACTGAAGTGGGTGCTGTGGCAAGCTGCTGGCTGCTGCTAACCACTGTGCAGTGCAAGAACCAGCCACCAGAGGTGCTCTCACCACAAGAGCAGGACAGGTCCTGCTGAGAGTTAAGTACCCTTTATCCAGGAAGAAAAATCCTATCCTCCAGCAGTATCCCACAAATACTTTCTACTGATAACGCTTATTTAACATTCTGTCAGCTGGCAAAAGAAAAATGTTTAAAGAACTCAGCTCCATATCCACAGAGCATACACAAATGGTGAATTTGGAATGATTTTTTTTCCCCACCCAAGGACATGCTCTTCATTGATTCTAGTGAGAGAAAGGGAGAGGGAGAGATAGAAACATCAATTGGTTGTCTTCCATATGTGCCCTGACCGGGGATTGAACCCACAACCTGGGTATGTGCCCTGACCAGGAATGGAACCCTCAACCCTTCGGTGCTTAGGACGATGCTCCAAGCAAGCCACACAGGCCAGGGCTGGAGCTAAATTTTTTATTAACTAGCACAATCCACCCTTTGGGCTACTCAGTTTCTACATGTTCTCTTCTATACGTGTTTGAATTCCCATACAATTAAAAGCAAACAAACAAAGCAGAAGCAAATGTGGCTTTCCCAGAACCAGGCTCTGGCAGCACAAGCGGCTTCTCCAGAACTCATTTACTACGTACTTCTTTTCTAAGAACCAATCAGAAGAATGACTGATACAAGGTTATCAGTGGGGAAATTTCACAAATTTTTCCATAGGTCACATTAGTGTCAGGAAGTTCTTCCCTTTATCTAACATGAAAGTTTTTTGTATGTTTTTTTAGCACTAACTCAGGCACTGGACATAAAATTCCAGGTTTATCATTTTTAATTGTAGTGCCTTAAGCAAACAAGTTACCTAATGTTTCTTTGACCCTATGAAATGGGGAGAATACCTACCTCATAGGGTTGTTGTGAAGAGTAAATCAATAAAGTGAAGACTAAATCAACTAATCTGCATACAGCATTTAGAACCTACCCTTGCATAAATCAGTAAATGTTAACTGCTAGCATTTTTCTATTGAGATGGAGTTAGCTTATTTTCTGTCTCCCCCATTAAGAATGAATGGTCCATAAAGGCAGGTGTTTTTTTCTGTTTTGTCCCCTGCTTTATGTCCACCATCAACAACAGTACCTGACACAAAAGTGGTGCTCAAAATATTTGTTTAATAAACCAACCAACCAGTGATCACATGCCCTTTATACTAAAAGGCAGTAATGGCAACTCTTCAAAGTCCTAAAGACAGAGTTTAGTACCTGGCAAAGTTAAAAGAGGGAAAAAAAAAAAAGGATTGGTGCCAATTTCTTCTTTAAGAAGACAAACATCAGCAACATACTTCTTCAGTGTTTTAACTTGCCTGGCTCTGGCATTTACCAGTTGTAAGGCTCAGAAAAATCACTCCACTTGAACCTCAGTTCCCTCTTTTCAGTGGAAAAGAGAAACTCCTTCAAAGGAATGGTGGAAAAAAATTTTTTAGTTATGCATACATCTCAACACCAGGAAGACAAACAATCCAACTAAAAAATAGGCAAAGGACTTGAATAGATACTTCCCCAAAGACGACATGCAGATGGTCAACAGACATATGAAAAAATGCTCAATGTCACTAATCATCAGAGAGATGCAAATTAAAACCACAATGAGAAGTCACCTCACACCTGCCAGAATGGCTACCACCAATAAAACAACAGACAACAGATGCTGGTGAGGATGTGCAAAAAAGGGAACTCTCAGGCAGGCACTGGGGGAGGGAATGCACACTGGTACCGCCACTGTGGAAAACAGAATGGCGTTTCCTCAAAACTTAAAAAGGCATTTTGACTCACCTTTGGCAATATAGCCTAAGAATCCCGAAATGATCTCACCTTTGGCAATATAGCCTAAGAATCCCGAAATACCAATTCGGAAGAATACACGGGTCCACAGCAGCTTTATTTACAATAGCCAAGATCTGGAAACAGCCCATGTGCTTATCAATAGATTAATGGACAGAAAAGCAGTGGTACATTTACACAATGGAATACTATATGGCCATAAAAAATGAATTCTTACTTTTGGCGAAAGCATGAACCTAGAAATTCGTATGCTAAGTAAAATAAGCTAGCCAGAGAAAGACAAATATCACGTAATCTCACTTATGTGTGCCATCTAACGAACTGAGGAACAAAACAGAAACAGAGGCATGGGTAAATGGGACAGACTGACACCTGTCGTGGGGAGGGGAGAGGGGTAACTCGATGGAAGAAGGTACACAGACAACAGTGTGGTGATGGTCAGAGGGACAGGAGGGTAGGGGCTGGGTGGAGGTGGGCAAAGAGGGATAAATGGGGACATATGTAACAGTGCCAACAATTATAATAAAGTAAAAAAGATGCACAGCACAGCATCTAGAATAAAGTTTGTACTCTACTTTATCTAAATACATATCTAAATGCAAACTCTGGTTTTTCAAGCTGGGCAGTATGCAGTCATTGTGCACTCAAACTATCTAAGCTTAAACTGAGGAAGTTGTTCTGGGATTTCAGAAAAAAGAGATATTGTAGTTTAAGTTTCATCAGCATGGCAAATTCTGTAATCCCCCAAATGGCTCTTCCAGAATTTATGTAAAAAGAATACAGGATTGTGTTCTGTATCTTTTGAAAGTAAAATAAAGCATCCAAGCTATATCTAACTTATATATATCCAATTTAAAAGAAAACAAAAAAGACCAGCAAATATCTGACATTAGACTTAATAGTAAGTATTTTGAAAAGTGACCCTATTGATAACACAACCACATCATTAAGCAGAAGAAAAAGTTTATTCAGATTTTTTCAATATTGACATCTAAATTTCTAAAGTTCCACTTCATTAATCTGCTTACTATTGGTTTCCCAGCACTGAAATAAATGTCCAGTTAAAAATTGTGACAAAATACAGGTAATAAGAACACCATCTTAGTAGATTTTTAGTAGTAACAATACACACATCCTTATTTTTTACTTCTGGCAAGGAGTTGTTGGCAAAGCTCTAATTTATTCTTAAATTACACAGACAAATAATTTCATCATTGACTCAAAAGAGAAAGTGGAGAGTCTAATTTTATTGCAGTTCCGGAGTAAAATGATAAGCAAACTCTTTCTAAACTTCATAAAAGAGTTGAAATTAGCTTCATTCTAAAAATAATATAAAATTATGGCGTTAAAACTAGAGCAGACCTTATCTACTATAAGAGCCACCAACTCGACAGCAATGTAAGTTTCAACACTTGCCACCCAGAGATCAGGTTTTCCAGATTTGTAGGCTCTACAGTCACATAGCCAAAATCCCTGGTGTTCTAGTCTGAGAGGCTAAGCGACTGACTGGTTTCTACTCCTTCTCTCCCAACAGAAACAAGTAGCCAGGGGCAGTGCAGGTCGGAACCGGCTTTCTCTACTTTATAGAAAAATCCCCATTATAAGAAAAATTGGAAATACTGTTCCTCCATTTAGTATCCTGTGACCTACTCTATTATCTTTAGTTTTTAAAAAGATAACACGAGCGATCACAAATCCCACTTCTGCCAATTTCCGGTCACCATCGTCCATAGGTGCCGCTGAATCATGAAGGAGGAGGAGAGCACAGTGGTTGTACACAGCAGATGTCACCATTCATGAAGCCTTCGTTGGAAAACTTTGGGGATGGGACACAAGCACCAGCTCACACAAGAGAAAAGACACAAACTAAGTTTCTGGCACCAGGAATGATGAATCACCCAACTCGAGCTAAACAGAAACAAAAGTATACCACTAACTATACTGTATCTTAACGACCATGGAGGCTTCTTTGGTTAACATGGCATGCTTTCCCCAGTAATCAACTTTAATAAACCCGATAAGCATTTTCAAGGCAACAGTTGAGTTTAGATGAACTTAAGCATCCCTTATATGTAACACTCTAGACTTACTTGGTAACTTGCAGTGACTCATGGTTAACAAATGCTTCATGTATTTTTTTTTTACACGCGCTATGTGAAAATGAAACACATTTTCACATTTTTAACACACACACACACACAAAAAAAAAAACCCACAAAAAAACCCCACACACAAATTCCTCTATTTAAATAAGCACACAAGTAGAAAAATGACCTTAAGCTTAACCTTAAACACATATATATGTATGTATATATGTATATATGTATATATGGCAATTATATATATGGCAAACGGGGGGAGGGGGGGAAATCCATCACTATTCAGGTTACAGACGGATGTTCCCAAAGGGGAGTGAGGGTGCAGGGAAGGCTCACAAGCCTGGGGTACCGGACAGTGAGGAGCGAGCCCTCGTGTTTTCCGCATTCTGCCCCCTCGGCGGCTCCGCGGCGCGGCTGCGGCCACAACCCACAGCCCTCGCCGCGGGGAGCCCCGGCCTGCCTCCGGGGGGGCACTGCCAGCCGCTGCAGGAAAAGGGCTGCAAGGCCAGGCTGTGCCCCTCCGGGAGGGACGTCAGGCAAGGAACCCTTCCCACCCCTCACCGAAACCGGAGCAATGGGTGTGCGTGCGCAGGATGGGATTTCTCAGGCAGACAGTCCCCCTAAGACAAAGGGCTGCGAGCCCGGAGCCACCCCCGAGCTGGAGGTGGGACCGAAACCAGGGCCCCGGGGCCCGCACCCCGCGCCCGGACCGCGCGCCGCCCGCACTCCGGAGAGAGCGGGGGACCCTCCCCCCGGGAGGCCCTCCGCCCGGGCCCCCCGCCCGCCCTCCGGCCCGAGCCCCTCACCCTGGTGATTGAACAGTCTCCATATCCTGGAGAAGAGAATTCCCATTCTCGGGCAGCGGACCCCCGCCGAGCCGCCACCCCGGCCGCCTGGCCTCCCGGCGCTCAGGCTGCTCGGGAGGAGAGAGACGCGCCGCAGCCTTCGCTCCCGCTGCCGCCGCTGCTGCCGCTGCTCCCGCGCTGGCCGCCGGCCCGCTTCCTAGGAACCGGAGGGAGGCCGAGGGCCAGGCCGCCTGGCCACGCGCGAGGGCCCGCCGCTGCCGCCGCGGCACCCGCCTGGCTCGGGGACATCGCCGCCGCGTTGTCTGCGGCGAGCCTCGCGGGCCACCGTCCTCCCCCAGCTCCTCCCGGGCGGCCGCGGCGGCGGGGAGCGAGGGGCGGGGCCTCGAGGGGGCGGGGCGAGCGGGGCCGGAGAGCGCAGGCGCGCGCGGCCGAGGGGCGGGACCTGCGGGGAGGGCTCTCCCACGGCCCTCGCTTCCCTGGGCGACCTGTAGGCGGCGGGACTGAGTCCGCGGTGCAGGCCATGCAGCGGGCTGCGGAGGGTGCTGGGGCCGGAGCCTCTTCATTGCTGAGGTTCCCCACCCACCCGCTGAGTTTTGAATTTTGCTTTCTTACTCAGAACCATCATGTGAACATGATATTGAGTGCCCAAGTGCCCGTCCCCAGCGCTTCCCACTCACTGCACCGCAAGCCCTACGTCCTGCACGCAAAGACATTCTGCTCCTGCAGGGACTTGGGGTCTTAGCATCTTCCTATCAAAGCTCTTCCCTACTTTCCTCCAATTAAATTTTATTTTAAACCTACAGACTACATCTTTGATGGGCTTTAATTATAGCATTAAAAATTTCATTTTAAAAGAATCAAACCTGTGTTAATGCAGAATCATTTCTTTTGACTTGCAACAATTAAATTATCTTGACTGTCTGAAGTAAAATATCTTACTTGAGAACTTTCTGAAATAATTATTGTTTGTACCTGCAAGGAAGACAGAACAATAGGAATAAAAATTTAAAGTAGACTATAGCTAAAAAGGATCTGAATACAGTAATAGTATGAGTCAATATCTGAAGTTCAAAACTTGGAAAATCCTTCTGATATCTAAATATGCCTAACGAGGGATCCTTTCAAGAAAGACAAAAACATCCCCAGGGTAAGACACCTTGCTCAAATGAGTATCAACTTGCCAAAAGCCCTTTTCCACATGACCACAGACCATGCATGAACTTCCATGCTCTTCCCACACTCGGTGGCTGCTCTTACCGAGGCAGTAGCCTTATAGCCATTTTTGAACCTCAGGCTATGACCTCTCCACCTTCCTCCACTTTCAGGTCAGTTTTGCCCTAATCAATGATTTGGATCAAGTTACTCCCATGTTTGAAAATCGTGAGTGGCAGGAAAGCTGTTTGAGCAGGAGTCCAAACACCTTAAATACTCCTTGTACTCCTAGCTGGCCTTTCCAGCTGTAACTTCCATGTTCTAAGCTGATGAAACGCTGATCAGATGTTCTCTCTGCTTTTCCAGTCTTCTTACCTGTACACCTTGAACAACAGTGTCCTGTGCTATGCAAATCTCATACTGTTTAAGCAACCCTCTATTATGGGATATTTAGTTGAAAACTAGAATGTAAGTGAATCAATAGGTAACTTGATGTCATAGTTCTTGGCCTATGTGCTATTATTTAAAATCATTTTTTAAATTTTTCTATTACAGGTCACATACAGTATTATATTAGTTTCAGGTGTACACTAGTGATTATATGTTATATAACATACTAAGAGATCATCCCCATAAATCGCATACAATATGGCACCATATTTAGTTATTGGGATATCATTTACTATCTTCCCTGTGCTATACTGTACAACCCCATGACTATTCTATAATAACACATTTGTAGGTACTTCATCCCTTCATTTTTTTTCACGCAACCCTCCTCCCATCTGGCAACCATCAAAATGTTCTTTAAAAAAAAAAAAATTGAGCCAAAACCGGTTTGGCTCGATGGTAGAGTGTCGGTCTGCGGACTGAAAGGTCCCGGGTTCGATTCCGGTCAAGGGCATGTACATTGGTTGCAGGCGCATCCCCAGTGGGGGGTGTGCTAGAGGCAGCTGGTTGATGTTTCTCTCTCTTCGATGTTTCTAGCTCTCTATCCCTCTCTCCTCCTCTCTGTAAAAAATCAATAAAATATATTTTTTAAAAATTGAATTTATTGGGATAAATTAGTTTGCAAAACCATACAGGTGTCAAGTGTACAAGTCAATAAAACAGCATCTGCACACTGCATCGTGTGCCCATCACCCCCATTTTCCCCACCTTTTTCCTGACTATCACCATACTGTTGTCCGTGACTATGTTTTATATTTATTTATATAGGTATCGGTATAGTATAGGTATAGGTATAGGTATAGGTATAGGTATAGGTATAGGTATAGGTATAGGTATAGGTATAGATATGTGTGTGTGTGTTTTTTGTTTGTTTGTTTTTGCTTAATCTCTTCACTTTCTTTCATCTGGTGACAGCTGTCAGTCTATTCCATGTATCCACAACTGTTTCTTTTTTTTTTTTTTTCATTGATTTATTTTGGTCATTAGATTCCACATATAAGTGAGATCATATGGTATTTGTCTTTCTCTGACTGTATTATTTCACTTAGCATAATAATCTTCAGGTCCATCAATGCTGTTGCAAAAGGCAAGAGTTTCTTCTTTTTTATGGCCAGCTAGTTTTCTATTGTGTAAATGTACCACCTCTTTTTAATCCACTTATCTACTAATTAGCACTTGTGCTGTTTTCAGATCTTGGCTATTGTAATAATGCTGCAATGAATATAGGGTTGCATATATTCTTTCTAATGTTTTGGGTTTCTTAGGCTATATTCCAAGAAGTCGGATCTCTGGGTCAAAAGGCAGTTCCATTTTTAATTTTTTGAGGAAATGTCATACTGTTTTTCCACAGTGGCCACACCAGTCTGCATTCCCACCAACAGATTCCCTTTCTCCACATCCTTGCCAGCCCTTGTCATTTGTTCATGATAGCCAATCTGACATGTCTGAGGTGATGCCTCCTTGTGGTTTTAATTGGATGATAGTGACATTAAAAAAATTTTTTTTTCTGTCTATTGGCCATCTGTATGTACTTTCGGAGAAGTACTAGTATCTATTCAGGTCCTTTGCCCAATTTTTAATTGGGTTGTTTGTCTTTCTGGTGTTGAGTTGTTAAGTTCTATATATATTTTGGAAATTAACCCCTTATCAGATATATAATTGGCAAATACCTTTTCCATTCAGTGAGTGTCCTTTTCAATTTGTTGATGGTTTCTTTCGCTGTACAAAAGCTTTTAAGTTTGATGTAGTCTCCTTTGTTTGTTTGTTTTCCCTTGTTAACCTGCTCAAGGAGATATATCCGCAAACATATTGCTATGAGAGATGCCTGAGATTTTACTGCCTATGTTTTCTTCTGGGTTGTTTATGGTTTCATGCCTTACATTTAAGTCTTTTATCCATTTTGAGTTTAATCTTCTGTATGGTGTAAGTTTGTGGTCTAGTTTCACTTTTTTTTTTTTTGTATGTACCTGTCCAATTTTCCAAATACCATTTATTGAAGAAACTGTTCTTATTCCATTGTATGCTCTTGCCTTCTTTGTCAAATATTAATTGATGTCAGAGAAAAAAAGAGAGAGAGAAAAACATCAATAATGAAAGAGAATCATTGATTACCTGCCTCCTGCGTGTCCCCTACTGCATATACTTTGACCAGGAATTAAACTGCAACCTCCTGGTTCATAGGCTGACAACTCAACTACTGAGTCACACTGGCCAGGCTGTTCATGTTTTTTAACTTTTTTTTTTAAAATGTATTTTTATTGATTTTTGGAGAAGAAATGAGAGGGAGGGAGAGAGACAGAAACATCAGTGATGAGAGGCATCATTGATCAGCTGTCTCCTGCACACCCCCTACTTGGGATTAAGTCCACAACGTGCATGTGTACTTAGGTGGAAACAAACTCAGGACCTTTCAGTCCACAGGCTGATGCTCTATCCACTGAGCCAAAACAGCCAGGGCATTGACCTTGTTTTTTGTTTTTTCTTTCCTTTTTTCTCTTTTTAAAGAAGATCCTTTTACATATCATATAATTCTGGTTTGTGGTGATGATCTCCTTTCACATTTCTTGTCTGGAAAGCTCTTTATATGCCCTTCAGTTCTAAATAATAACTTGCTGGGTAGAGAATTTTTTTTTTTAACTGGCCAAATTATTTAACCTTTTTATGCCTTAATTTTCACATTTGTAAAAGGAGAGAATTTGTGTCTTAGGTTTTTTATTCTAGGTCACCTGATAACTATGATAATTAGTCTCTACTCTTGTTAGAGGCAATAAGTGGGGAAAAAACAGAAGTTATGTACTTCACCTTCACAAAGAAGCCCCCAAAAGCTCCCTCCATTTCATTCTATTCTCATTAATTTTGGTTAAAAAGAAGACGAAGAGTCCAGCTGGCTTGGCTCAGTGGTTGAGCATTGACCTATGAACCAGGAGGTTATGGTTTGATTCCCAGTCAGGGCACATGCCCAGGTGGCAGGCTTGATTCCCAGTGTGGGCCATGCAGAAGACAGCCAATTAATTATTCTCTCCCATAGTTGATTTTTCTATCCCTTACTCTCTCTCCTTTCCTCTCTGGAAAAAAAAATACAAAGAACAAGTGTGTGTGTGTGGGAGGGCGGGGGGCTGTAAGAGGCATTTTGAATTGCTTTGCTCCCCTTCTCCAAGAGTTGAATGAAACTTTAAATAATCTACAATAAACTACACCTTAACACTTCACTTTTCTTAGTCATACACTATCTTATCTCAACATATAAAAAAATGCAGCATATGAAACAACCTACAGATTGTCTTAGTTTTCTGAGCTAGAAAACTCATACCTGTAAAACAAAGTACAGCAATGAGGACTGAAACATGCCTCTTTTTTAAAAACTGTGCAAGAAAAGTATTTTTTCTTTTGGAGCTTGTGGTTAAAAAGTATAAGTTTAGAATAGACATGTGAAGGGAAAGAAAA